TAATCAGTATGATTTTCACTGTCTATATGACCAAGTGGAAACTAAAATTGGGCAAGTGTTCAGAATGCCACCCAATAACTGGAACATTACCTTTAAAGGGAAACAATATTTCAACATTTCTCTCAATATTAAAATCTTGAGAGTTATTAAAAATTCAGTTTTTGCTAAACAAATTATCACTCTGCTTATATGTAACTTAGTATACTTTTGCGGCGGAGCAAAGTGATTACCAACTATGTCTAGACATGTGACTGAGATTGACATGGTGAGGTACTACTTCTTTTAGCTATCCTGGATAACTTTGGTAGTAATGGACAATCAGTAGACTTTTCCTTGATAGCCTTTTATGGGTCAGTCCGTGGGTCACTCTAATATTGTCCTGTCAAGTTGAAGATGCTTGTAGTCAATCATGATAATTCCCTCAAAATCCCAGTGGATGGTTGCCATGATTTGGTCTTGACAATTGAGTTCAAAAAAGATCCTTAGGTTTGTGCTAAAGAAACACAGTACCCTGTCATAGTAGAAGCTAGCTACTTCCTACTAGCTAACTTTCTACCATCTAGATAGTTACTTAGATGAATTGTATTCCAATTTCTTTGTCCACTACCAAATGTATCAGACATTACTTAGTTTATATGTGTTTGAAAGCAGTATTTAATAGATTTAGTGAAAAGGAAGAAAGTAATATAAGTCCTAGCTTTTCTAACCTTCTCTCCATGTTTCTGAATGATATATTACTCCTTGAGTTTTAGAAGTGTTTTGTATATAATTTTTGTTTTCACTATGATAGACAACATATAAAAGCTAGGATCTGTATGGGCTAGGTATACTCTTATGCCTGAAATATTCTTTTATATGATTAAATTATGATTGATTTTTTTTAAAAATACATTTTTAGAAATTAGCTAAGTCCTGACAAGATTTTCTTCTTAAAAGAAAATTACAATTTCCCCACAATATAGTAAATACAGTAAACATAACTTATTTCAACTTATTTTTAAAGTTTACAGAAACAAACAAAAATGACTATTTTAATTTAACCCTCACATTAAAAATATTTTATATCTAAATTAACTAATATATTCTCTGAGGAAATACCATCATAAATGGCTTGCAGACAAAGTCAATGACACACAACACAAAAATGTCTGCCAAAGCTGAAAACCTTCTAAAATAGCTGTTGTTGGGTGCCATCAAGACGGCTGTGTCTTGTAGTGACCCTATGTACAACAGAACGAAAGACTGCATGGTCATGTGTCATCTTCACAATCCATGTTATGCTTGAGCCCATCATTGTAGCCACTGTGTCAATCATTTTATAGAGCTGAAGCTCTTTAAAACCAAATATAATTTAATCTCACCTAAAATTTCATTCCTAAACCATATTGATACAAAAAAAATTAGCTATAAATTTAATACACTGATTTTTTTTTT